CTTTTTTTTTTTTTTTTTTTTTGGTCTGGTCCAAATCTTCACGCCCAATCTGACCATCCTGAGCGATGAGACGAGAACTGGATTAACTGGGCTGAGAACGGGCAGTGTTGCCCCTGTCCACCTCCCCATTGGTTGTGCCCCAAGTCCTTAGGAACCAACTCCAGCCCCATCAGTAAGTGGGGGGAGTGAGGACTCCACTGTGGGGTTTTCTTCTTGTCAACAACAGGCCCGTTGATAGCAGGGTCAGGAGGGGGACACATAAGCGACAACCACCATGGCAGAAATCAAGCTGCTTATTACTCCATTGGCCCAGCCTGGCCTCACTGCCGGCTACTCTCCCACACCCCCTGCTGCCAGGCGCCAGGTCATCCACAGCACCCAAGGGAAGCTTTTCTAGCCCATATTTTGGGTCAAGATCCACTCCTATATGCTCATGTGCTCTCACTGCTACTAGCACTATTTTTTGGAGCAATTATTTAAAATCTAATAATGCTTATTTGTTTAATGTGTGTTTCCCCTCTAGACTAGGCCGTGGGTCTGTCTTGTTCACTGGTGTGTCGTAGCGTCTAACACTGTGACCCTATAGCAACAGGCCCACAAGTATTTCCTTTCGAATGAGGAATGCCCAGCCTGTCCCCCGGGGTCCTGGGTAGACCCCGATGGGTGCCCCGGACTGACCTGACAGGTTGATTTCGGTTAAGGAGTCTCGGGTGGTGGTGCCCACAGCGGTGAGCAGGTTGATGGACTGGTCAGTCACGTGGTTACAGTAACTAAGGTGGAGCTTGGAGAGCAGGGGCATGTGGCGAATGATAAGCCGCAGGGAGGCGTCTGTGATGTCCAGGCCGGCCAGACGCAGCTCCACAATGTTCCGGAGCTTACTCCGATTGTCCATCTGACCTGAGGGGGCAGGACAGAGAGGCAACATGTCACCCTAACATGACACTTTACAAGGCCTACCAGCCAGGTGGAACACCTGGGTTTCATTTAGCTGTTGAGTGTCTTCCCCAAAAGATCAAAACTGGTTCCAACATTTAAAAATCACAATATTCCACATCAAGTTTTACCCTTGTAGATTCTTTAAAAGTCAGAAGACCTAGAAACACAGAGCCTGCATTCCATCCAGCAGTGCTCAGCCAATTGGAGTACAGACAGCACAGCATTTCTGGGTCACCACAGATTCCTCATTTAAGGTACTGGTGGGGAGCAGTGAGTCCTGCAACCCGACCTAGGAGGGCTTCATCCCGTGAGGCCCTGTCCGGCCACACTGACCCCAATGCTTGAGGCTTAAAGCCAACGAAGGACAAATTAACATAGAAGCAGTGAGATGCACAGAGTTCCCAAAGTGGCATCCTGGGAGCCTCTGCCCTCTCATGGGTCCCCTCTTGTACCCAAAGCTGACTGAGAACAGCATCTGGGACTCAGCTACGCGTCGAGAAGGGCTGAAGCCAGAGAAGGCTTGAAGACATGAGTACCAGATGGGGTCTGTGGTGAAAACCAGATCCAACGGCACAGCTTGGTCATACCACCTTCTTGTGACCCCCACTTGGGTACACCCCTGTCCCAGACACTCACCTGGCCTGTTATCTGTAGGCGGGGACAGGAGATCCCGCATCTGGGCGTCCTTTAGTCCTTCTACCCACTGGACATCCAGGGTCCGGAGCAACGGACAACTGGAGCTACAGAGGGCTGAGACTGCGATCCATGAGCAGCCTGACAGCACCAAGTCTCGGAGCCCTGGCGGGGGACAGAGAGGGGGTGGCAGGTCAGGTGATACACCCCAGCCCCTGCTACTGCACATTGAGGGTCCCTGGCCCAGTGCTCACCAGGCAAGCGGTTGATGAGCCAGCTCAGCTGTTTCTTGGAGATGTTGGTCCAGCTGAGGTCCAGGGAGACAGGCTGTCGCCGGATGATGCCGCTCAGCATCAGGGGTGTGATGGACTTGCAGTGGTTCAGGTCGATGCGGGTCCATAACCGCTTATCACAGCACCTGGGGTCCAGGCCCAGCAGAGGGGGCAATGTCAGAGTTGGGAGCTCTCTTGGGGAGCCCCATGCATGGCTGTGGTCAGTCCCCCACCTACCAAGCCCAGGGGGAGGCTCCTTAACTTCGTCCCCTGGACCCTTCTGTTTAGTTTCCATCTCGCTGGCACCTGAGAGCCTCTGCTCTGATTGTCACAGCCCTTCCCCCCCACCCCCATGGAAAGTACCAGAAGCTGTAAAGTATTTACTGGGGGTTTAATTACACCCTCCACAGGCCATATCTCAAAACAACCCTGCATCATGCCTGTTCACAGATGAAGGTAAGTAACTTGGCCAAGGTCAGAGACCGTTCCAGCTGGGAACTATCAAAGCAGGGATTAAGATCAGGAACTGGCGCGGCACTCGTGACCTGAGCTAGCTCTTTAAGGACAAGGACTCCCCCTGGTCCTCAGTTCATCTTCCAAGAAGCTAAATCAGGAAAGCAAGTAGGGTTCACCTCTTTTGACAAGACCACACTGACTGCAGCTGCTAGACCTCTTTGCGGAGGATACTTAAGCTGGATGGGGCTTAGAAAGAAAGAGCATCACGAGCGACTCCAGTGGGAATGCACGCGCCATCCCTGGCCTAGCCTAAGCCTTAGCCTGACCCCCTGGTGCCCCCATCCAAACTCAGCCGGCGCCCCTCACCAGCGGTTCCAGGTCCTGCAGACCCGCATGCAGACACACAGGTCTTGGTGGCTGAGGTAGCTGAAGACGGCCATCCACACCTCCCTGTGCATAACGTGGGCCGCCCCATCATCCAGGGGCAGCGAGTCGGGC